GAACAGCAAATGGTTATTCTCTAGATCAATCTAGTTACATAGAGAAGATCTTGAAGAAGTACAACTATTTCGACTGTAAACCTGCGTGTACTCCGTATGATGCTAGTGTAAAGCTATTCAAGAACACTGGAGACAGTGTAAGACAAACAGAATATGCTAGCATCATTGGCAGTCTCCGTTATGCTGCGGATTACACTCGACCAGACATTGCATATGTCGTGGGATTGCTTGGCAGGTTTAACAGCTGTCCTAGTAGAGAGCATTGGAATGCTATAGAGAGGGTCATGAGATACCTCAAGAGAACAGCAAACCTTGGTATACACTATCAAAGGTTTCCCGCTGTACTAGAAGGGTATAGTGATGCGGATTGGAATACCCTATCAGATGACTCCAAGGCAACCAGCGGATATGTTTTTAACATCGCTGGTGGAGCTGTGTCTTGGAAGTCAAAGAAACAAACAATCCTAGCTCAATCAACTATGGAATCAGAGATGATAGCACTAGCAACGGCTAGTGAAGAAGCAAGTTGGTTGAGAGGATTGTTGTCAGAGATTCCCCTATGGGAAAGCCCGGTCCCTCCGGTATTGATACATTGTGATAGTACCGCAGCTATCGCTAAAGTTGAGAACCGGTTCTATAACGGAAAGAAACGACAGATTCGTCGTAAGCACAGTACTGTTAGAGAACTCCTAACGATAGGAGCAGTGAGGGTGGATCATATAAGATCCGAACAGAATCTAGCTGATCCTTTGACGAAAGGATTACCTAGAGAGAAAGTCCAGAATACCGCCAAGGGTATGGGACTTATGCCTACCGAACCACGGACTACAAGTGATGGTAACCCGACCCAATAGACTGGAGATCCCAAGAAATGGGTTCAATGGGTAATAACAAGTCATGAGTAGTATGCGAAAAGTTCATGCATAATGAAGCATGAATCCCAAAGCAATGGAGGTTGAGTTAATAACTCTTAATGAGATCTATACCCTATGTGGGGTGGAGTACTTTACTTTGGGGGTACTCCTGATAGACTCACCTATGTGAATGTGGGAGTGGGGCCGCTCCCTATGGAACTTTGAGAGGCACAAAGTTGCTAGAGCGTTCACTAAACCAGGGTAACGTGCAAGGCCATAAACGCACGGGCTAAGAAGAGAACACAACTCAATGAAAAGATCCGGTGTGCTACACTGTCTGAGATAGGGTTCAAGACTACGAGTCACCCTTATGAAATCGGAAGTGTAACCACTACGCTAAGGTTCAAATCTTCGCGATACCTTAGCTTATGCCCGATCTTATGGAACTGTTGATGCTCAGAGATAGTTTCAAAACTATTCAAGTGGGGGATTGTTGGAAATGTGTATGAATAGCTTTGAAAGCTATAGAGTCTCAAGTGGAAAAACTACCACATTGGTAGTTTTACTTGGTGAAGTGATTATAAAGATAGGAGCCTCTCTCCTAAGGGCATGCCCCTTGGGGTGACCCACTTTTGTGGGAGAGGGAGGACCTAACGGACCACCACACACGCGCGCGCCGTCCGTCCGTCCGACCGGCCGGTCGGTCGGTTGGTTGGTTGGATGGATGGATGGATCACTTGAGACTATATACATATTTTTTGGAGAAATTCCGAACGAAATTAATTATTTAATAATTAATTATTAATCGGTTACTCTGAGGAATATTCCAAGGGATAATCGATTGAAAAGGAATATTCGAAGGATAATCTCCGCAGGATTTATCCTAACCGACGGTTTTAATTAAGGAAGTAATTATCTTCCTTAATTAATCCGACTTATTCCCCAAGCAAGAGGGTATATTCCTAGGGGTTCGGCTCCTATAAATAGCCGCCTCCCCAGCCCCTCTAAACACACAACAACGAGCATAAACACAATAGAGAGAGTGTTCAGAGAGCTCCGGTTTTCGCACAAAACCGCGAGTACCCAGAGGAGCTGTTTTATCCTGGAGACGACCGGTTGATAGTCTGCCGTGCGCATCGAGGGCAGTGCCGCGAACGTCTTAAAGAAAGCGACCTAGTCCGCGACTCAGCTCCAGATTCGGTATCTTCATCTTGTTGTTGTTCCGTTTCTAACACCTACTGTCAGCGATTCAAATGCGTCGCCGCCGACCACCTTGCCGTTAATAGAAAGCTCGCGCAATACGAGGAAGATTTAGCAATTGTGGGTGTAGTACGACCTCCCAGATCTTGTTGGCAGGGGATTGATTCGCCATCTCCTCCAGCCACACGCAACCTCCACTCGTCCATGTTTGCTCAGTCGGAGCAGAGAATGAACCTAATCCACCGGGACGAGCATGCAGCGCCATCGCCGAATCTTGGGGTTTATCGTCAGACGAGAAGAGAAGCCAGACAAAGGGTGAGGGGATGATGGTTTTCGAGGAGGTAGCAGGTGTTTTCGGGAGCTGCGATGGAGGAGTTGGAAGGCTGCAATTGGGGGTAGGCGGCGGCGAAGAGCAGAGGGGAGCTGAATCGCTCCTCCTCCACGAAGCCAAGGAAACGACAATATATGTATTGTCCCCAACTCGAGATGCATCAGGTACAGTGTCGGGTTGGGTTGAGTTGGTTCGGTTGGGGTTTGCTGGTTGGTTTTGTTATTTGTTTATTATTCATCTATTTGTTGATGTGGCGTGGTGACTGTACTTATTTGAAGGATTTTTGGATGAAATTGGACAGAATGACCGATTTGGTATTCGTCCAAACATTTTTCATTGAAACGTGCAAAATTAAAGTTTAGTGACCGTCTTGTACAAAGTGAATAGTTGTGTGACCGTTTATGCTAATTACTCCTATATTGACAACCAGCTAATTAACTCGCGTATGATATTTTTCTAAATGCCTATGAGAGAATCAAGTTGCATGATGCGACAAGCAAGGTTGAGCCTTTATCGCTTTAATAATGAAAGTTAGTATAGATAAAAGAAGGAACGTTAGATTTGCTGTTAGTTACTTTTTTCGGTCATTGGTTATTGAGTTAATATTGGATGATAATGTGAAAAGGAGACAAAGTATCTATATAACTAAAATTTATTTTCATAGCATTCATAGTATGTTGTAATGTAGAAGCATAACTGAATAGTTTGGTTGTGTATGACTGCAACTACACTTTCATAAAATGTTCATAATATGCAATTATCTTTCACTTTCGTTTATCATAATCATGTTTATTTTTGTGAACGGCTATTTGCCGCCAACCAAATTGCTATTTGCCGCCAACAAAAAAAAAAAAGTTGAATTCAAATTTTGAATTCTCCCTTCCTTCCCTTCCTTACATTCTATAAATTCGAATATCATTAACATTTGACTCATTCCAACAAAAACACTTTTGTCGACGAGCCCAGTGCCTCCGTCGCCGGCACCGTTCCTCCGTCGTCGGCCAACCTCCCGTCGTCCTCAATCGTCGGAAAACAAGTAAGTTTACTTTTTCCGGCAAGTTTTTCAATTTTCCGCAAGTTTTCCAGTTTTCCGGCGAAAAACACGGTGGTCTGAAAAAAAATTGTGGCCGGAACGCCGCCGAGCCGAAAGAAATTTTCGGCCCGTCTGCGCTGCGGCCGCAAATTTATTTCGGCCGGTCGCCGAACACGCCGCCGGAAAAATTTTGGCCGGCGTGTTCGACGACCGGCCGAAAAAAATTTGCGGTCGGGGCGACGACGGGCCGAAAAAGATTTTCGGCCGGACGTCGCACCGGCCGCTAAAAAATTTCGGCCCGGCGGTGCACCAGCCACAAAATTTTTTCGGCCCGACGGCGCACCGGCCGCAAATGTTTTTCGGCCTGGCGGCCCACCGGCCGCAAATTTTTTCCGGCCTGGCGGCGCACCGGCTGCAAAAAATTTCCGGCCCGGCCAGTTTTTGTATTTAATTTAATTTAATATGTTAATTAATTAGTCAATAAAAAATTACTTAATTAGTTATTAGAAATTAGTGTTAATATTTTTTTAAGTTGGTGTATAAATGTTTTTTTTTTGTAATAGGCGTATGAATGTTTAATTACTTAGTTAATATTCAGTACATTAGTTAATAGAAAATTAATTAATTTGTGATTAATTAACAATTAATGTTAATAGTACATTAGTTAATAGAAATTTAATTAATTAGTGCGCATCTAAGTATCATATTAATTAATTTGTGATTAATTAACAATTAATGTTATAGTACATTAGTTAATAGAAATTTAATTAATTAGTGCGCATCAAAGTATGATATTGTGTAAATTTGTGATTAGTTAACAATTAATGTTAATAGTACATTAGTTAATAGAAATTTAATAAATTAGTGCGCATCTAAGCATGATATTGTGTAAATTTGTAGATAATTAGATATGGATGATGCGGGTGGGAGTGAGTAGTATAGATTCAATGGTAGGGTTGTTGATGCATCAACACGAAGGAAGGTGCCTAAGAAGAATAAGGAGAAGAAGCGCTCTCGAGATATTGGACATCAGTCAGAGGCAAATTTAGGGGAGGATGGGTTAGAGGCTCCTACTGTAGTTGCTCGTTCGGCATCACGGGCGTCTGGTTCCCATGGGGGGAACCAGGGTGCTGCATCGAGAGTGGTCTCGGCTGAGTTTGATGAGGACGATAATGATGAGGATATCGAGGTCCCTCCACCTACGCGTGGACATGGACGAGTGCCGTCTTGTACGACAACATCACGTCCTGCTATGTATAGGGATCGAGCTGGGCGATTCGTACCACCTGCTCGTGATGAGACAGAGAGCTCGGGGACTGGACGGAGTAGGGGAGGACGTTCGAGTGGTCCTCCACCGTGGGAGCTTGTTGGTGAGTGTCCTGGTGGACCTACGGATCCTAGCCTCATTAGGAGCTTCCGTGGCCACGCTTCCTATGCGCTTTGGACGGGGCTTGGAGATCCAGGGGTCATCAGTTGCTACACCCGTACATCAGCGGTTGATTATCTGGGTAACTATGTGTTTAGTCATGTTGAGGCGGAGGATCTGGTTCAGCAGTCAGGTCTCCAGCACCTGATCTACTCTATGTTCCGCAAGATAGTGATTGACGAGGCTTTGATCTCAGCTTTTGTGGAGAGGTGGCAACCAGACACGAACACCTTCCACTTGCCTTTTGGAAAGATGACGATCCTCCTCCACGATGTTCAGTACTTACTGCAGATTCCTGTTGAGGGACGACTGATGAGTAGGACTTCTGCGCAGCTTGACCATCCGGAGGTGGGTTTGTGTGCGCTTCTTGGGATGAACTCGGAACAGTTGAGTGGTCGTTCGGAGGCCCCTGGATTTGGTAATAGGGGTAAGTGGTACAAGAAGGGTGGTTTTCTTGCGGAGATGGCGTCCAGATACTTGCAGGTGAACTGGACACATGTGACAGAGATGCAGTCGTACTTGTTGTTGATGTTGGGGTCCACTTTATTTGTGGACAAGAGTAGAGACAGGGTTCGGCTGGTGGTGAACCTATTTTTGGACGAGTTGGAGGAGATAGATCAGTACAGTTGGGCGTCAGGTATACTTGTTTGGTTGTACAGATGCCTTGGTCAGGCGTCTCGTGTTGGTGCCAGGGGGTGGCTGGTTGTCTCACACTTCTGCAGTGTTGGATCTACGAGTACTTTCCGGGTTTCAGGCCATCTCACTTTGAGCCAACTGTCGTTGGACCTGATGAGGCTTGGGCTTCACGATGGATTGGGCAGCCGGCACCTGGTTCTGTGGCTGATCCCAGTGTGAGGTTGGCGTTCTACCGTCGAGCTCTTGACAGCTTGACCCCTTCTGATGTGTTTTGGACACCTTTCCATCAGAGGCCTCATCAGGCAGTGCGTCGCTCTTTGTACACTGGAGTGATTCGGTTCGCTGATATAGGCGAGTTCTATGATCCAGCTCATTGCCTCCGACAGTTTGGATACCGACATATGGTACCGCCTCCCCCTTCGCGTCCTTAGCGAGCAGACCGACCAGAGGCACCTGGTGGATATGTCATTCGGATTCCTAAGAGTTTTGATGCTGCATGGGATGCTCTGCTATCCCACATGGTTCATATAGACATGTACTCTCAGCCCTGGAGGACGTATCCATATGAGACTACGATCGACTATCTTGACTGGTTCGTGGCGCACTCTCATTGTAGAGTCCTACGGGATGATGGAGATGCAGATCGACTAGTTGACTCTGCAGCGGTAAGATTTGACCACTAGACCGTTACTCTATTATAAATATACTTAGCGTGAAACTAACAATTGTTATTGTTTTTTATTTTTTGTGCAGCGTGCTCGCGACCTTTTGTACACGTTTGCACCTGCGGTTCGAGCAGCAGCAGGGACCGAGGAGGAGTTTCTTGAGCATTCTCGACGAGCCTACAGGGCACTGCACGGAGTGCAGGATGTGTGGACTGAGTACTGGGTCTCCCAGGGACTCCCCCCTCCAGGGGATTTTTAGTTGTTTTGATGTTTAGATCGGATGTTTATGTTTAGACTGAATGTCTGCATATTTATGTTTAAATCGGATGTTTGACTACTTATGTATGTTTGGATAAGATGTTTATGTTTAGACTGCATGTTTGCATATTTATGTTTAAATCGGATGTTTGACTACTTATGTATGTTTGGATCAGATGTTTATGTTTAGACTGCATGTTTGCATATTTATGTTTAAATCGGATGTTTGCACACTCATGATTAAAACATCGAGGGTAGATAATGAAATCCATAAGTTCATGATGATAATGAAATTCATAATTTCATAATGACACTAGGGCCATTTAAAATACAACTAGAAAAACAACAACATATAAATAGAGCATCGCAATACTATGCATTGCTCCTACCCCTACCCCTTCCCCTAGCTCTTCGGGGGTCTCTCTGCCTGGCTCGCTGCCGACCACCAAGACTCGCAAACAAATTTTGTCAAACCTCGAGAATAGCTCCCCACTCCGCCACATTAGGATTTGCTAGCCCATACCAAATTGGATGCAGAGGGGGTATGGGAAACTGATCCTGATTGAAGTACAATCGAATGTAGTGGTTGTTTACATAGAGCAGTGATAAGAACATGGTTGGTGGCAAAGTACCTGGGTCCGCATCAATAGGCAATACAGTATAGGCATCATCGTAGCGGTTGGGTAGTGGACGATTTGCATTATTGACATCAAACACCTGGTATGTGAAGACCATGACTGCGATGTTGTAGATGGTGGCAAACACGAACAAGTCCTCAGAATCCATCCATCGCCCAATGGTGTGGAACCCGCCTCGAGCCAATTGATGCGGTTAATGTGAGCTAGTGGACCACCATTATACAAGTTCTCGTACTTCCAGAAATGTTGTTGGATTTCTTGGACAATCGTTGATCTCATGAGCAGATAGTGACTATCATCCCCATAAATACAATGAGAAAGTGCCCTAAAACCACAATGGCCGTCTGGACTAGGGTTGAAATCGCCTACCAGCAAAGGTCGAACAAACTCTGGAAAAAGCTCATCGATGTAAGGGTAAGAATATTGCCCTGGGGGGCTCTGGGATGAGTAATCTACAAAAATATACCAAACAGTCAAAATTACTTGGACAAAATTTACAAACATAAACCAATTACTACTAGATGGACTATAATATTTAACCAATTACTCACCTGTATCATGCTCGTCGGATTCACCTCCACTCGATCGCCCCCTGCCTCCACTCGATCGGGATCTGCCTCCACTAGATCGCCCCCTACCTCCACTCGAACCAGGCCCAGTACTCCTCGAACGAGACCGCTCATAATATGAACGAATGCGACTGGTGCTTGATCGAGGCCGTCCTCTTGGATTCTCATTCACTTCCAGTTCCCTCACATTGTCCTCTGTTGGGTGAAGCCCATAGAATAGGGCATCTCTTGCTTGTCTTACTGCTTCAGGACCTTTTTCTTCCACCTCAACAGGAAGACGCCTAAAGTGTTCTCGTTGAAGCTCAATTTCATCATTGACTTGTTGTTGACGTGGGGGGGTTTTTATAATCCAAAGTCCGCCAAAATACATGCAACTCTTGAGCATAGAATTGACGTCCTTCTTCCTTAGCTTTAACAATCTGGCAAGCACACTTGAGCCCATGTGTCATCTGAAAATGACACGCACAACTGTCCTTCAACTCCGCCGCCCCATCTAACATCAGTTTGATTGCCTCACAACTAACGACCCTCCTCAAAAACGTGCACGGATGCTCAATTGCCCTACTCAGATTGCGGTTAAGTGACTTGTGCAGTTCATTCACCACTTCCAGAAACTGATGTTCCATGTAGTTGTGGTTCTTCGCAAAACAATTGTCAATCGCTCCTCTACCTGACACAAGGAAAGTCTTGAATGAAGAGTGAGATGACTCAACTCTATTCGAGCTCGTGTTACCAAGATGAAACACATGGTTCGTGTAGCACTTTGCCCACATTGTCTGATGAGGCAACCACTCACCTCGCATGTAGTCGACCATATTTATGTTCTTCTGTGTCCAGACCCTCTCAAACTCATTAATCTTTTGAAGAAAACCCTCATGAGTCCAACTCCATGCAGCTTTGTCAAAATATTTCTTCCATACCGCTTGTGATACCTCTCTTTTTGCAATTTCACCCAGTAATTGCTCAAACGTTTGCTTCACACAGTTGTTGACGTGCCATAAACATAGTAGGTGGACAGTATGTGGGAGAGGGAGGACCACAGGAATAGAAGCAAGCATACCACCTTCTTTGTCTGTCACAATGACATTCGGAACCGTATCACCGAGCAACCCTTTAATACATCGCAGCAGCCACTCATATGTTTCCTGCTTAATAATTGCACATGCAATGTTGAAATTCTTCTTGACTGGAGTAACCCCAATAATCTCAACCCATGGCCAGCCATACCTATTCGTCTTGTAGGTCGAGTCAATGAGGATGACGTACGGCCATGCATGCAACATCTGAATGGACGTCGGGTGCGCAAAAAACAGATTAGTGAGCACATTATTAGAGTCCTTTTGCAAACAGATATGGTACCCACGTTGTTCAGCTCCATGAAGCGAAAACTGTATCGCATCCATTTCACCCATCTCATCCAATCTTGTCTTGTAATTTCTGTTGTACATCTGTTTGATATCATGATTCACACCCCCTTCAGTATTGAGTGTCGTCTTCTGCTGATTTGGTCTCACCCCCGCCTTCCTCATTAATCTTAACCTCTCTTTTTCAGCCTCACTAAACTGTTTGTTGTGTCGGTGATGTTCTGGATACAACACCTTTTCATGGTTGTGAAATCCTCTATTAGCTCCGGTTTCACGACTTGTCACTCCCACTATGACCCATGTGTTTGGACCATTCTTTTGCCATACTTCCTTAATACATATCTGAAACTGGCAACCAGTACCCTTCGAACTAATATTCCCACGCGTCTCCTTCGTAGGGTCTGGTTTATAAGACTTAACGATCCTACTGCTTCTGTCACAATACATACAAAGGGCAGTAACAGGATGTAGTCCAGCAGTATTCGGTTTCCATGCTCCTCTAACAATAAAGAACCCACACTCCTGAGCGATTGCTTTTGCAGCTAACTCAGCTAACTTCACACTTGCATAATGGATCCCATTCTCAAATTCTGCTGTGTAATCATGATCGGCCGGTAACCACTCTGACATTTTTCCTGCAATTACAATATAACACATCAATATTCCTGCGAACCTAAATGCTAATTTCAACTCTTAACCGCTAAATTCAACTCCTAAACTCTAAATTCAACTCCTAAACACTAATTTCAAGTCTTAACCGCTAAATTCAACTCCTAAACGCTAAATTCAACTCCTAAAATCGAATTTTTCCGAAAAATTCCAAACACGTGGGCCGAAAATTTCCAGCGGCCGGAACCTGGTCGGGCCAAAAATTTCCCGCGGCCGTAACCTGGCCAGGCCAACAGAAATCGGTGGCCGGAGTCAGGCTGAGCCGAAAATATTTTGTGGCTCAGGCAGGCTCCGGCCGCCGGAAATTTTCGGCCCACCTTCTGTTCGTTGCAAATCGTCGGAAAAATTGTTCGAAACTACAAAAAATTGACACACCTGCTTAGTGATGATTCATGGATGCGTGTCCGCAATTTACGTCGAGGATAGGCTTTCCCGATGGTTTTCCGGCGAGCGTCGATTTTTTCTGATTCAATACGTTTTCTGAAAGTTGAATATGTTGTAGATTGTGAAACTTCTTAACCAAAGATGTACATATATACTTCTTCTTTTTTTTAGTTGGCGGCAAATAGCAAGCCCCTTATTTTTAGATACTTTGTTACAAAAACATGTATTTATTTCACTCTAAATCTACCTCAAGTACATGTTAGTGTTGTTCTCGTGCTAAAAAAAATATCATGAGCAAAGGAAATTCAAACTTTTTCCTCCCAACAATTCTAGATTCCTTGAGGTATTATTAGCATAAGATTATGAAGTTTAAAACAATTGGAAGGACGACATAAGGGACTTATTTTCCTCTAATTAATAAAAAAAATATGTACAACTTTACGAAGTTAAACATTGTTGGTGAATCAAATATCGTATGACTAACAATATGATTACCGGTAATTAAGTTATAAATATTATTTTGTGACATTATTGTTGATAATGGTCAGACCCACATCAAATATAACGACTCTCAAATCAAACGAAACACGATATTAGATAACCGTAATAAGTATGAAAAAGTATGAATCCAACATCATTAAAAATGACAAGTAATAGAAGAAGGAAAAAAAC